AAGGGGCTAATCAATACCTTTAACACACTTGCTGTGTCACCTACTTCCCATTTTCTATTAGAGACCTAACCTTTTCTGCCTTTATGGAGAAATTAAGGCCATCAGATGCATACTCCCTCAGTGTCCTTCACCGCTTCCTCTAAGTATGTTGCTACTGGTCTCACACCCTTCCCTGCTGTTGGAAGGAAGAGATTCAGCTACTCAATTCCAAGGCTAAAACCCTTATCTAAGTCCCTTAATTCTTGTCCTTCCTCTTCTAGGACCTGCATTTTGTTTTTTATAAGTTATGTAACCTCCTCTAGAGTTTCAGTCCTTCCTCCTGTGGTGATTCCTTTTACTTTGTCATCTATTGTTTCAGTCTCTTCTATACTAAAATTCCTTTACATCAGCTTTGACTCTTCTTAAACTATTGCCTTATCTTTCTCTTTTTACTGCTATACTTCTTAATAGTCCGAATTTACACATTTCTCACCTTCCATTCACTTCTTTTCTGTCTCATTGGTTCATTCATCTGTTCATGTACCCCATCACTTTTTAATCCCTTGAAATTAAGTGTACCCCAGAGTTCCGCCAGTGTTATGGTTGTTATATATTTATGTTTTGTACATTTACCCTGGATGGTAACAATCCATTTTTGTGGCTTCAGCTATTATTTACGTGCTCGTTATTTCCAAGCCTTTGTCTCCAACCTCAGCCCCTCTTCTAATTCCAGCCACCTATTACATATATCTATTGCAGAATAGCCAACTGCAGATCATTAACAATTTTGTTTGTTTGAGTCAGGATCTCACTCTGTCACCCAGGCTGGAGAGCAGTGGCACAATCATGGCTCATCACAGCCTTGACCTCCTGGGATCAGGCAATCCTTCCACCTCAGCTTCCAGAGTAGCTGGGTCTACAGGCACATGCTACCACACCCAGCTAATTTTATGACTCCTGCCTCAAGCGATCTTCCGCCTTGGCCTCCCAGAGTGCTGGGATTACAGGTGTGAGTCACCACTGCCAGCCTCATTATCAAATTAATATCAATACTCCTGCATTACTTTTTTAATGCCTATTTTTCTTTTGTTTGCTATCCCCATTTATTTCATTGCTCAAGCTAGAAACCTTGAAGTTATCCTTAATTCCTTTGTCTTCTTTAATAGTCACGTACAGTACAATGAATTTTACCAAAACATCCACTTAAACTTCTCCGATAACTTCTTAACTGATCACCCTGACTTTAATTCTAGGAATTAATCCCTCCTGCTGCTGTTAGATAGGTAACAAAAACATAGACATGGTGATATTATTCCTTTGATTAGAAACTTTTGGTGGCTTCTGTTGCTTCAGTGATCAGGTTTTTAGAACTGAAATTAGTATGACTTGGCTAAAAATTGTTATGTTCTCCTTTAGGTTTGAAGAGGAAGTCTCGGAGATATACTCTGGATACTAAGATATCAAAATTCTTAGGCTCATCAGTAGGTTGTTGTATAGAAGCAAGCAGGTTATGATCACTGTATCAGTTAGTTATTCCTGAAGCACCTGCCGTATGCACTAGATACTAATAGATGCTGATAATATAAGAAATGAAAAAACATAGTCTCTTCCCTCCAGATGCTGAAAGTCTAGCAATAGACATAGATAAACACGTTGAGCATCACTAATCCGGAAATCCAAAAGTCAAAACTTTTTGAGTGCTGACATGACACCACAAGTGGAAAATTCCACAACTGACTTCATGTATTGCCCCAGAAAGACACTGACTATAGCTGATGAGACAGCCCCTATAAGAATTAAGGACAGGACAGGCACAGTGGCTCAAGCCTATAATCCCAGCACTTTGGGAGGCTGAGGTGAGGGGATTGCCTAAGCCCAGGGGCTTGAGAACAGCCTGGGCAATTTGACAAGACCTCATCTCTACAGTAAAAAATGTTTTAAAAAATTAGCTCAGCGTGGTAGCACATGCCTGTAGTTCCAACTACTTGAAAGGCTGAGGCAAAAGGATCACCTCAGTTCTGTAGGTCGACACTGGGGTGGCTGACTAAAACTCAGAAAAAAAAAGAATTAAGGACATCTAGAAATTTTCGTTAGGATGCCATACATTTAGAATGTTACGGTGTTAAATAGATCTTCTTCCATTAAAGAATGGTGCAGTTTGTTTTAGTAGGCAGTTAAATTACCGTGGGACAGCTTGGTTAAGACAGGTCTAGAGATAGTTTAGCCTCAGTACTAAGGATGACTTTCCTAGGGGCCTCTGTTCATTGTCTCCAAGTATTTGGAGTGGTTGTTTTACTCAAACTAGACAAAATTCAAGTATCTTACCCTGTCCTCAGTGAACACTGGGAAATGTTCGGCTCATAATTTCCCAGAAGTTATTTCATCTAAGACTCCAGAATACTACTGAGCAAATTTCTGGAGATCTTTCTCTGTGTAGCTCCCTCCTCTCTGGTACCATACCAGCAAATTCCAACTGCCTTAGGCTTGCCAGACCCCCAGTCTGTTTTATCAACAGAGCAAGACTGCCACATTATGCATGGGTCCTCCCTAACCCTGTGCCACAGTTCATAGATTCTCAACAGGTAGGAAGCCAGTAAGATAGGAAAGCTCACCTCCTCTCAGGGCTCATGCTCTTATACTACCTGTTGTTCTAATGTCTGAAAATAGTTGGTTTGTATGCCTTGCTGATTTTCTAGTTGTTTATAGTTAACAGGTAAGTTCCATACTGTCTGGTTGGAGTAGGAAGTAGCAACTTACCCTTTAGTGAGTATGCTGTGTATTTTTCACACCACTGTAACCTTACACATGTGCTCATTCTGCCTGGGATATGCTCTCACCATTTCATCTTCTGGTTTCCTAGTCATTCAAGGCTCAGGATAAATGTCATCTTTCTAAGATCTTTTCTCCTCCCTTCTTTCCTCCTTTCTTTCCAATTAATTGTTCAGTTGCTAGGTTATCAAATCTCTTAAATAATTTCATACATATATGTTCATATATAATTATTAAAAAATCTTTCATTTTTCTCTTTCCTACTAGTGTGTGAAGGCTGACATACATATTTGTTATTTGTCTATTTCTAGGAAATAGCATAGGGCCTGACATATTTGAGTGATGTTTGTTGAATTTAAATGACGAGGAAGTAAAGATCCAAACTGGACCTCAAAACAGGTTAGAAATGGAAATACTAGTTCAAGTAGAAAAACAAGTGTTTGGTGTCTGATAAAGAGAGCTATGATAAAATGAAGGTGCAGGTAGTTAGGGAAACTCAGTTACTCTTAGCCTCTACACATCAGTTATATGGCTCTGAATAAACTGATAGAAAGATGCTTATCCCATAACTTTATAAGGTCTACTAGAAAGTTGAAATTTTAAAGTTCTTCATATTTTTTGTAAAAGTTGTTTTCTGTGTAAAATTTATTGTTAAAAGTTTTTGAATTTTTCTGTAAAAAAAATTTTTTTAGGTAAAAAGTTATGTGAATTAACTTAATTTCTGGATAATTTTAAAGTACTGGAGCCTGTGTAATCCCAGCACTTTGAGAGACCAGAGCAAGAGAATCACTTGATCCCAAGAGTTTGAGCCCAGCCTGGGCAACATAGCGAGACCTCATCACTACAAAAAGTAAAAAAATTAGCCAGGCATGGTGGTGTGTGCTTGTAGTCCTAATTACTCGGGAGGCTGAGGAAGGAGAATCACTTGAGCCCAGGAGAATGAGCCTGCAGTGGACTGTGATTGTGCCACTGCACTCCAGACTGGGTAACAGAGTGGGACCCTGACTCAAAAAAGAAGAAAAAAAGTATTGGAAAGTAACTTTGCTAGAGTAAGTATACCATAATGTAGTCATGGAAATCTTGCTATAGTTAAAGATAGACAAAGCAAAACTATTTTAGGGCTTCTCTAGCTTCTATAAGAAGGAAGATGCTTTATGTAAATGTTGTTAATATTGTTATATTTTCTGTTACCATACTTGATAGATGGTTTTAACATCTCAGATTGTTCTTCAGTAAGATTACTTTTAGATACATTAGTTAATATGACAATTTATTTAAAACTTTCATTTAAACAGGGTAAACTTAAATAATTGCATGTTAAACCCAGAGGAATGTAGCCTTATGATCACTCAAGTCTAGCTTTGAAAATTTCTTATAATAGTCGTCTTTGAAAATTTTCAAATAACTGTAGTTAGCCATATATGTTGTGCTTTTGTAAACTACTTCAATTGTTGAGAAAACAGAGAATCCCGTGGTTTTTTGTTTGTTTGTTTGTTTGTTTTTTTGAGTTGGAGTCTCACTCTGTCGCCCAGACTGGAGTGCAGTGGCACACTCCCGGCCACCACAGCCTCGACCTGCTGGGCTCCAGCGATCCTTCTGCCTCAGCCTTCCAAATAGCTGGAACTACAGGCACATGCTACCACGCCCGGCTAATTTTTGATTTTTATTGTAGAGATGATGTCTCGCCAAGTTGCCCAGGCGGGTCTCGAACCCATGGGCTCAGGCAATTCACTCACCTCAGCCTCCCAAGGCGCAGGATTATAGACTGAGCCACCGAGCCCGGCTGAGAATCCCGTTTTTTAAGGCAAGAATGTGTAAACATCATAGTGGAAAGGACTATTAATAAATTGCTCGTAAAATTTAGGCAAAGAAATCTTTGCATTTATGTAAATTGACCTCTATTGAATTTTATTGCAGATGGCAGTAATGAGCTGAGGGACTCAGATGACAATAAATTGTGATTAAGAAACTTTATCAGGCAAAATGCAGTTCTGTGTTTCAGTTGAACATAGTTCTAATTGTTACTAGCACATTGTGGCATGTATGTGCAGAGGGCTTTGTAAACTGCACATTGTATCTCTAGCTATTTGGGACTGAGTTGACTCAGCTCATACTGTATTTTGCTTCAGACTGTCAAATTCATATTATTGGTATACAGTACCGCCAGGTTGTAATTAATTTACTCTTTAGTTTTGTTGTAAGTTTTCACCATTTCCCTTATGAGTTATAACATTAATTTTGCCCTTCTCTAGTGCTGCTGGGGGTGAAATCTTTGACCAGTGTGTTGCAGACAGAGAAGAAGCCTTTAAAGAAAAAGATGTTCAAAGACTCATGCAACAGATTCTAGAAGGTGTTCGCTTTTTACACACTCATGATGTTGTTCATCTTGATTTGAAGGTAGGATTCACATTACAATGTTGAGATTGCTAAAGAAAAAACATAAAATATCTAACTGTGATTTATTCATACATGTATCAAGTTTGTGTATTGCAAGTGGTATATTACTCTTGTTATTGCTCTTGTATAACAAGAGTATTAGAATTGAATCTTGACTCCTCTAGCCAGTTAGTTTTATCAGGGAGGCAATGTGCATGTGTGTACATGGAAAGATAATATAATACAATGTGAAAAAAATAAAACTCAGAGAATATGGCTGGTGTAACTGAAGGCTTCCTAATAGAAACAGTACTTGAGTTAGACCTTTAATAAAAAATTTGGTAAATAGAGAAGAGTAAAAGAAAATTACCTCACAAGAGTTAGGAATACTTGTGTGTTTGGGAAAAAAGTAAATGGAATTCATTTCACTGGAATTGGGAGATCGATCAGAGATATTGAAAGCTAGGAAAAGACCAAATTCCAGGGGTTTCATAAGTCTTGAAGAGATAGATTATTTCTGAGTCAGGAATATTTGAAAACCAGTGTTTGGGAAAATAGGCAGGTAGTAGTAAATAAAATAATGAGAGAATTAAAGCTATTAGAGGCTGGTAGATTTCTAATTTAAAATTGTCAAAGAAGAGGAAAGGAAAGGAAAGAAAAACAAAGGACAGAATATCATTTATGTTCCTCTCAAGTAATCAAAATGCCAGCTGAAGCTACAGCAAGAAGAAAAGGAAATTTGTTTGCTAAAAATACTGGGGATAATTCTAGCATCAGTTAGGACAGTATTCAGGGCTCAAACACTGTTGCCAATATTCATTTTTCTCCAGCATTCAGCTCTGCCTTCTCTGAAGGACATGGTAGTCAAGTAGATGCTGCTGTGTTAGCCTCACAGCCACCTAGAGTCTCAGTAGGAAAGAGCTGGTCTCCATGCACATTTCTCTCACTCTGATTAGACCAGTTTAGATCAATCTGGAACTAATAAGTGTGTTAGAAGGGTACAGTGCCAGAACAGTGTCAATCTGTGTTATATGCTCCAACTCTGAAGGATGAGTAAGCCCCTCCTCCCATCCCAATCTTTACGTGGACTGAGAGTGGGGAAGAAATGGATTCTCAGTTTCTATTTCTAAAAGACTAGAAAATGGGTGCTCAGACAGTAAATGTCCACTATGACTATTCTTGCTGTATTTCTTCAGGTATCTATGGTAGAGAATTTATGGTTCCTGCAGATTTTCTGATGGTTATTTTCATATCAAGATGAGGTGTGGCTGTGAGAAAATAACAGTTCTCAAACTACATGCCACAGTGACCCTAATTCCTAGTGTCTGTTCCACTTACAAATATAGCCTATCGGCCAAAGGAAATGGAATTAGCAAGAAGGGTAACCTGAGAAGCCTGAAATCCCTGGGCTCCCCAAAAACTTTCCTATCCAGAACTGCAACCTTATTTCACTTCACAATTATCTACTGATCTACCTTGACCTCTGCTGTAGTATTCCCTTTAGCAGAAAGTAGATGTTTTATGACACTGATTCTCTGACTCTGACATGCATCAGAATCACCTTGAGGGTCTTGCTAAAGCAAATTGTTAGGCCCCCAACCCTAGTGTTTCTGATTCAGGATAGGGCCAGGTGATGCTTAAACTTTGGTTCCATGGGCTGCTTTGAGAACTGCTGCATGGCACATTCCACAGTGATATGTATAATGTATATATGTATATGTATACACACATATATACACATAAACACAAATATATAGATCACACTGTATAAATGCTTAATTTTTATTGTGTGAAGGAACACTCTGAAGGAAGAGGATCCAGTGTGTATAATCTGGAGGTTTGCTTCTAAAGCAAACTTAATAATGTCTCATTTGAAATCAGGTGGAAGGACAATAGACATCTCTTTAAATACTAGTTTCCTGCAGATAAACACAGGAAAAAGAAAACAATTTGAAAGCTTTCTTATTCTTTTCTGAAAGATGCTAATTTAAATTAATTTTGTAGACAGGTTTTTTTTTTCTCAAAAATATTAATTTTGTAATTCCGTGGCTAAAGTAGACTATCAGGATACACAGTAGCCATGTGGTAGTTACAGTGGTATTTCTGAAGGCAAATGTGGACATGTGTGTACCCAGTGTAGTCCCAGGATGTTATTGCTGAAATGGCCTGATGTTAATGCTGAGAATCACTAGTTAAAATTTTTCATAGCTTGGTTGGGGAAACTGGGGCTTTGCTTTTCCCTTTTAGTCTGTCATTTGCATAAGCAGGTGAAAAGAGCTTTGCGCAAGAAATTTGAACCTGTGCTTCCTTTGGGAACATTTACCAGAAAGAGATGGTCTTGACGGTCCAGCCTTTCAGCGGACTCATACTTGAAGAAGCCTCAGTTACTATTAGCCATGCAAAAAAATTCCCCAAAGAAATGTTTATGCTATAGCGTTTTTCTTGTTTGGTTTTACATTCTTAACTTTGTAAAATCACATATCTGTTTTATTTTTTGTGATGTTTTACTAGTTTTACCATGTGAAAAGGACTTCCAGGACCAGAACCCAAATTTAAATAACATTGCTCCTTTAGGAACCGAGCTTTCAGCTTATGACAGCTCAACCTGTGACCATTATTCAGGAACTAATTAAGGAGCAAGTCAGACAGGTTGTCAACAGCATGTGTCATAGATCTTTGATGTTACTTGAAAGCAGCCAAAGGTGAATATTAAGTTCTTGAATACCAGGTTTAACTGTGTATTTACACAAGGAAATTACATCCCTTTCTCCTCAAGACATTCACCATAAATCATATTCCTTTCTCTCCTGTACACTTGGTGTAGAATTCTTTCCAGATTTAATGGAGGCCTTGATGACAATGATGGGCCTTTGATGTTGGAAACTGGACTCCCCACGTTTCCTAAACCCAGAGGAATGAGAAGACAGGGTGATCCAAAGGGTTCTCATCTTTTCTTCTGCCCTCATACTCGTATCATGTGCAATCAGACATGTCTCTGGTTGAACTGCTGGAGGGAGAGGATAGAGACAGGGTTGCTGTGGCAGCCATACAGGTGGGAGTGATTTCTACCAAAGGTGGTTTCCAGTTGACCTCTCTGAATCTGGACAAAGAGAGTCTGCTGTCCTTCACCTTCAGCAGCCATCTGCCAAGTGAGAATGTGTGCTTATTTATAAATGTTGGCTCTCAGGCCCTAGAAGAACTTAAAAAACTAAACTAAGCCGGGCTCGGTGGCTCAGCCTATAATCCCGCGCCTTTGGGAGGCTGAGGTGAGTGGATTGCCTGAGTCCGCGGGTTCGAGACCCGCCTGGGCAGCGAGACCTCATCTCTACAATAAATCAAAAAATCAGCCGGGCGTGGTAGCGTGCGCCTGTAATTCCGGCTACTCGGAAGGCTGAGGCGGAAGGATTGCCGGAGCCCAGTAGGTCGAGGCTGCAGTGGCCGGGAGCGGCCACTGCACTCCAGTCTGGGTGACAGAGTGAGACTCCAACTCAGAAAAAAAAAACAAAAACAAAACTAAACTATAAAAAAAGATTATTTTCCCACACTCCTTCTAAGCTAAATATATTTTATGTTTTAATTCTGTGAAAATTTATAACCCCAACATATACAAGAGGAGGACCTAAAAAAAAAATTATCTTTTGGAGGGTGGCCTCTTATAGTACAGGCTTCCCTGCTAGGTAATTGTTCTAGGAACCTATCAGCATCAGTGTACCAGCTAGCATTGTTATGAGAAGCTGTGTTCAGCTTCAGTGAATTTTTTTTTCTGGAGATTCTTTTACCACATTTGCCTATTTCATGATGAGTTATTTACGAGCACACCTGCCCACACCGTGCTGAGTGTTCAGCAGTTTTTGACCAAAAATGGCGTGACCTCTCTACTCAACCCGTCTCACCCAGAGTGACTTTTTTTGTTTGTTTCCCTGATGAAAAAAGTCCTCAAAGGGAAACATTTGCCAATGTGAAAGAAGTGAAACAAAAAAATGACAGCATTAAAGATATCAGAATTGATTAATTCAAAAACTGTTTCGAGCAGTGGAAAAAGCATCTTGACGTGTGTATAGAATCAAACGAAATGTATTTTGAAGGCGACTAAAGTTTAAACATGTAAGAATAAATACACAATTTTTCATAAGTAAATTCCACTTTGGGGGCATCCCCCCTCATATATGTAATAACCTAGTTAGTAGGCTGCCTTCTCCATTCTAGTTCAAGTAAAGAGATCATTGACACTAGGGGAAACACACTGTTTGGCTTCAATGCAGACCACAAATGATCAATTTGCCAAAAGATAGATTCACTACAGACTCTCAGTCAATATTTTAAATTGAGCCTGGAAAGTTCTTTGAGGAGTAGCAGATGCAGATTTAGGAGTCCTTACTTATAAAAGTATAAGCCTGTAAATCCATAAAAATAGAAAAGGCAAACTATGATTAAAGGAAAGCCCATTCATTTAACATATAAAATGTTGCAGGACTGACAAATCTGAGAAACAACAACTCTGGCAAAGTTAGAGTAAAACAAAATTAAAGTCCAAAACTGTCTCAATAATTTGGTGAATTAGTCATTTGGCAGAGTGACCTGCTTTCACTTTAGTCAAGGGAAGGACTGACCAAAATAGCACAGGAATTCAGTCTTAAAACCCAGTGCTTTTTCTTCAAATGGCGGTGTACTGGTTCAGTCCTTGTGTTAGTACTGTGCTTAATCATGATTTTATTGGTTTGGGGGGTTGTCTTTTTTTAGCCTCAGAATATTCTGCTGACAAGTGCATCGCCATTGGGTGACATTAAGATAGTTGATTTTGGTCTTTCAAGAATAATGAAGAAGAGTGAAGAGCTCCGAGAAATTATGGGTACTCCTGAATATGTGGGTAAGCACTCATTTTAGCTTGTCTGGACATTAGCTTATCCCTGAGGGTGAGTGAATACTTAATAAGTAAAGGCCTTTAAAGAAGCTCTGGTGGTGACAAATACTGATAAAGGAATTGTCAAATCTGAGGTGTATTAGAGCAGCGTGTTAGAGCATAGAAGTGTATTAGAGCAGAGAGGGCATTCTATCAGATCCACGCAAGGTGGAGTGCTTCCAGCATAACAAGAGAGCAGCTGAATGATGCACCATGAGTCTAGGTTGGGTAGAAAAAGAAGCCAGTTATGACTTTTTTTTCATAGACTGAAAGAAAAATGGGCATTTGAATTTTTTTTCTTAAGGCATCTGTACTAGAATAAGGCTGTGGAATAATTTAGAGATTGGAACATTAACATTCAAAATTTCAGTGGCGAAACAACTCTTTGTAATTATAAGGCCTTGGATGTAGCTCTGGAAAGGCAGTCCTTTAGAAGCTTTGATGCTTTGATGCTAGGCTTTCTGGCCATGGACATCAGTGTGGAAGTCACCTCGGCTGATGGACGGCCTGAAAGAATAGAGCTTTCCAGAGGACACAGAAAGACTGGAGGTTCCATGGAGTGAGGTTGAAGAAAGCTGTATGGCAACAACTGTCAAAAAAAATAATTCCAACATGTAAAACCCAGATCCTTAGTTAATTAGGTAATAAAAGATGCCATAGCAGGGAAACAACCTTCAAGTTTTTTGTATTTCTTACGGGCTACAGTATTTAATTTTCAGTATGATATGTATCATGATCACTAAGTAAGTTTTAGGAGTGTTACTTAACAGAGTTTCTTTTTTTAATTATTTATATTTTATTTTAAGGCTGTGTGGTACAATTCAGGATTAGGTATAAAGGTGGACATCATACAGGTTAAATTTGGGCCACCCTTTGGTCCCCACTTTGCCTGGTTTGAGATCAGGTCCCCTTATAACAGAGTTTCTTTTGGGAAAGCAGCAGCCCAAATATTTAGACAATTTTAAGGGGCAGCATTGAATTCGAATACAGAAGACGCAGAGTGAAGGACTATGAGCTGAAATGTCAAAATAGTAATGATTGCTCTGAATGAGGTTGTTTTTTGTTTTAACACTTTCTGTTCCTTAGTAAATTGTTTTCTATCAGGTGCCTTTTCCTCCCCAAAACAGAGCTATCTTCTTCATTATAAAAAAAGTATAAGCTTGGTCCAAAAAAACTAAAAATAATTCAGAAGTATATAATGAAAAAAAAAAAAGAGACTGCCCTCTTTTTCTTTCCCTGACTCACCTTTGCACAGGTGAGTTTATGCCTCCTACAGTCATTTTATACATAGAGAAACCAGTGTGACTTCTGTCTGGCTCTGTACTTGCCGTCTATATGATCTTGGCCCTTAAATCTCTGTTCCTCAGATTCCTCTGCCCATAAAATGGGGCTAGTAATAGTACCGACCTCATAGGGAATTGCAAGGATGACATCGGATTTGCTATATAAAGCTCTTAAAGCAGCGTTCGGCACATTACACACTCAAAAGTAAGCTATTGCTATTTCCTCCCATAAGCTTGGTGTATGGTCTCTAGTTTACCGTTTCCCCTCCAGTAATTTGGATGCTTTGCATTTCATTAATTTTCTGGTCATTTTTTAAAAAACTTTTAAATAACATTCACCTCTATTTCTAAGCTCAGACATCTTAGAAAACAGAATTCAAGAGATTAGCATACCTAACATTTTCTTCCCAATTTCTTCTTCTTCCCTTTTATTTGGGGGAATTATCCCAAGTCAACAGTGGATATATGACCTTGAGTATTTAGTTTTTTCTAGAATTAGAACATTTTCATTTCTTTTTAAAATTATAATTACTATAGGTCTTTCATCTTTGATCTGTTTTCCATGGATTCAGTACTTATTGCCCATCTTTTCACAGTCTAGCCTCTCCATATGTATGGTTTTGAAAAACTAGATTTTTCTTTTCTTTTAAATTGCATTTCCTTTAAACCCTTTTCCCTGCACACTGAAGATTTTTCTTCTCAAGGAGAATTTTTATAGTATTTCTCCTGAACCTTTGATTATTTGAGAATGTCTTTCTATTGTGTTTAAGTATGACAGCAATTTAATTTATATCAAAGCATATTATTTTTCTCAATTCTGTAGCTGTAACTTTTTTGATGTTGTCCGTGATACAAGTTATCTGAGGATGCCCAATTTTTTTTTGTACCTTTCCGACTTTGTTAATGGGTGGGTTTTTAAGGCTCACTCTAATAGCAACTTACAAAAATGATTAGAGGGTGGGACGAGTAGGTAAAAGGCCCAGGTGAGAGGGGAAAGTACCCCAGACTAGGGTGGAACAGTGGGGACACACAAATGTGGACGGCATTGGGAAAGATTTGACAGCCATAATCTGATGGAGATGATGCTTGATTAGTTAGAGGGTTCAAGAACAGGAAGGTGTCAGAAATTGTCAGTTTATATTGCAGTATTTATGCATTCAAATATTTTCACAAGACAATGGAGGGTGGAGATGTTAAAAGTAAACAAGTTCATTGCAAACATCTGGCTAAACTTTTAGTTAATTCATACTAATTTATGATATTAATTTCACTTTAGTTCATATTTTGAATACTTTCTTATAGTTTCTAATACTTACTATATTTCATTTTTTGGGACAAAGTCTTGCTCTGTCACCCAGGCTAAATGTAGTGGTGCAGTCATAGCCCACTGCAGCCTCCTGAGCTCAAGCTATCTTCCTGCCTCTACCTCCTGAGTAGCTGGAACTACAGGCGTGCACCTCCATGCCCCAGCTAATTTTTTTATTTGTAGAGATGGGGTCAGCCACATGTCTGACCTCTAATGCTTATTTTAATTTTTTTATCTCTAAGAGCACATCAGAAATATTTTCCACAAAACTAAATGTTTTCTTCTGTTTCTTATACTAGCTCCTGAAATTCTTAGTTATGATCCTATCAGCATGGCAACGGATATGTGGTAAGAATTAATGAAAAATTGATCAAATTCGTTTTAAGAAATGAGTATGGTACTAATTTTCTTACATTTTCTTTCTGATTTAGGAGCATTGGAGTGCTAACATATGTCATGCTTACAGGAATATCACCTTTCTTAGGTGATAATAAACAAGAAACATTCTTAAACATCTCACAGATGAATTTAAGTTATTCTGAGGAAGAATTTGATGTTGTGTCTGAGACAGCTATTGACTTCATCAAGACTCTTTTAGTTAAGAAACCTGAGTAAGTATTAGTTTAACATAGATCTTTGTCAGTTTTTGATTGATCTCCAAACAAAAGTAGTTCAACTAAAATACCAAAATGAAAACACAAAATGTTGACAAAAAACTAGATGAAACCTTTGGCTTAATATATCTTTTGAAAGAAAAAGTGGCAAGTATTTTTAGAAAATGTGAACTGTACCTCAGTATTACAGGATTTAAATATTAATTAGCAGAATATTATTGCAGATGTGTTATGCAATGAATGGCACTCATAATTCATGGTTAATAGAAATTGACAATGAAATGACAACTAATCTCTAACAGATATTTTCCATCCGTCCTTGGTCTTCCAAGAGAGCTTTTCAGAGATACCTTACTCAAATATTTTTCAACATTGTGGGAAATTATACCCAAATTCCAAACTTCCAGTTTTATTCAGGAATCACAAGATTTTTCCCAACTGTACACATTTGCCAAAATATAACACAATAAATACAATAACTTATGTTCTAGTTTAAGTGAAGTTCTAATATGTTGTCTTAAATATAAAATATATATCTTTTTTTATACAGAGATCGAGCCACTGCTGAAGAATGTCTGAAACATCCTTGGTTAACACAGAGCAGTATTCAGGATCCTTCTTTCAAGGTGAAAGGGGCATTAGAAGAAGCATATGTCTTCCAAGAAGGTGATTCCGTGCCTCAAGTTAATCCAGATACTGATAAACCAGAAACTGAGGAATCAGTTGTAACAGAGGAGTTAATTGTAGTTACTTCATATACTTTAGGACAATGCAGACAGTCTGAAAAAGAGAAAATGGAGCAAAAGGCCATTTCCAAGCGATTTAAATTTGAGGAACCTTTGCTACAAGAAATTCCAGGAGAATTTATCTACTGAGTAGTATTTCCTTTAGAACTTTAAGATTTCTACATTGAAAATGTTAATATTATTTATGGACCTCTGGCCAAATAGTACATGTACTGGAAGTGGATAACCAGGTGTCACTTACGCAAACAAAAATAAGTTTGTGGAGTTAGGTGGAGTTAGGTGACTCAAGAAGCTAGATTTATAAAGTTGCCAACCAGAGATTTAACAGGTACAGCTATCTGTTGCAATGTTATTTTTAAGAAGGGAGATGTTTGCACCTTTTAATTCTACATCCTGTTTCTCCAGAATGAGAATTTGTGTGCAAAGATATTTGTATTCACTTTCTCTAAAATTTGAAGTAAAAGTGCCAAAACTACATTTCTGTAAATCTCTTTTGCATTATTCATATGTGTATCATCTGTATCTGCACACATGTATGTTGGAATCTTTACTAAAATTGATACTTTTCACTTTGGATTTGTTTTTGAGAAGATTTTAATTTAAATAGACATCATCTAAAATTTTGAGACCTAGAATAACATTCATTATAGTTGGATAATGCCTTATTTTTATACTGCTTTATATTGATTTGATTTGGCTTCTGTTGTCTCTGTTTTTGCCTGATGTTTGTAACCTATCAGTAAAAAAACTCTGGCTAATTTTTTTCTCTTCCGTGTCACTAGTAAGAGAGGTGGTGATTTTTTTCACCTCTGAAGTCACTCGTGTTAAGTGTCAGTTTTCCAGCATTTTCTTCATCACACCATACTCATCTGCTCTTTCACAAGTTATACCTCTGCCACTTCCTTGCCCCTTCCCCCAGACATTGGTGACTTACAGGCGTCAGTGTGATCTGATCAGCACTACGGTTGCTTTGGTCAGTGAAAAGATGCTATTATATTGTTTTCATCCCCAAATTAATCAAAACCCTAGAGCAGAAGAGATGTAGGTGTTTTCATGCTGACCACTGAGCCTCTACTTCTGTTGAGTTTTTTAACAGCCCTCAAACTGTGCTAAGACATAAATTATAAAATGCCAAAATATTCATAAACATTTACCTTGTCCATAAATATTTGACACTGGATAGTTTGTAGAGAGGTACTCTGTCCCAAAAGATTTATAAGAATATCTTCAGTACAGTTTAATTTGATTAGGATTGAACAGTGCAACTGTATCGAGGCCCCACAGTGAACAGTAAAGTTCTATTTTAAAAGGGAAATGTATGCTGTATAACTTAAAGTAAGTAACATGCTTCTCATACAAAAAAAGTCTGAGAGTCCTTATTTGACTTTTATTAGATTCAGTGTTAAATATTGGTTAATCCAGCTTGTCTGTCACCTGCGCACTAAGCGCACCTGCCTTTGCCTCACTCCATCCCTTCATGGCGTGATGAGGGTGTCACACAAAGCTCTCTTCCTCGCGTGATTTCTCAAATGTCAAAATCGAGTCAATGACAGCACCTCACCGCCTGTTTTAAAGTATGTACAATGAACACACACACACATTTGTAAAAATGTACTAGACAGTTTTACACAAATGGTCATTTCACTAGCCCTGCCGTGTGAGCCTGTCAGAGCACCTGGCATTGCTCATACCCCATCAGGTGAAATTTATTAGGCAGTTCAAATGATCAGGTTGCACTGTGTTCTCATTAAATTGGCTTTATTTATAGTCTCTTGGAAACTAACGTTTCTAAACAAGCTCTCAAAAGGGGAAGAGGAAATTCTGCCACAGTGGCAGAGTTTTCAGTGAAAACCAGTGACCACGATGTTGCGCCTCAGGTAAGTCTTGAAAGAAGTAAAACACAGGTTTAGGCAAATTTGTGTAAATCCTTATAAAAATAGAGGGGAGCTGACCAAGAAAAAATACCCACTGTTGAATGACACATATTTGTACTTGACGGATTTGTCAAGTTTTAAAATCAGAATCATCTGGTCTTTTTCAAAAGCATTTTATATTATGCTCGTAGGCTAGGCATGGTGGCTCACACCTGTAATTCCGAGCACTTTGGGAGGCCAAGGTGGGAGGATTGCTTGAGCCCAGGCGTTTGAGACCAGCCTGGGCAACCTAGCAAGACCTCATCTCGACAATAATATCAGAAAAAAGCCAGATGTGGTGATGCATACCTATAGTCCCAGCTACTTGGGAGGCTGAGGCAGAAGGACTGCCTGAACCTAGGTGGTTGAGGCTGCAGTGAACCATAATTCAACTCACTGCACTCCAGCCTGGGTGACAGAATGAAATTCCACTCAAAAAAATAACAAATATATATTATGCTCACAACAAATATACTTAAATATCTGCTGTATTTGTGAAAAATGTGTGTTTTCCTTTAGCTGAGAATTTCATCCTCAAATTCACATAGCTGGACTCATACAGCACACATTCTGATGTCTGATTTTCCTCAGCATGATGTCTTTGAGATTCATCCATGTTGGTGCTTTATTAGTGGTTTGTTCCTTTTACTGTTGCATAATATTTTTTGCATACCCCACAGTTTATGTCTATACTTCTGTCTATACTTTGGCTCTTATGAATAAAGCTGCTATAAATATTCTTGTATAGGGATTTTTGTGGACATGTTTTCATCTCTCTTGGATTAAAAAGCTAGGAGTAGAATTGCTAGACCCCAGGGTAAATGTATATTTAACGTTTTAAGAAACTGCCCGACAGTTTTCCAAAACGACTGCACTGGTTTCTGTTCCTGTAGCACAGCGTATGAGCACTCCAGTTGTTGCTTTATAGCCTGGCTGACAGTGGGTGTTGTCCATCTTTTTCATTTCAGCATTTTCCTGGGTATATGGTGGTATCTCATTTTCCTGATGACTGATGAGCACTTTTTCATGTGCTTATCAGATGGTTCTTTGGTCCTTTTTTTTCTTTTTAATCAGGAGGCTTCTATCTAGTTTGGATATAAGTCCTTTGTCAGATTTATGTGTTACAAATATTTTTTCCCACTCTGTGGCTTACCTGTTTTCTCAACACTACCTTTTAATGAGCAGGTTTTAATTTTGGTGAAATCTAATTTATCATTTTTTTGTTTTATGATTAATGCTTTCTGTGTCCTCTTTAAGAAGTCTTTACCCACCAGGTCATGAAGGTACTGTCTTTTTTTGTTTTAGAAGCACTATAGTTTTAGCTTTCATGCTTAGATCTGTTTTTCACCTTGGATTAACTTTCTTATATGGCATAAATTAGGGGTTAAGTACTTTTGGTTTCCAAAAGCTGTTCAGTTGTTCCAGCACCATTCGTCAAAAAGATTTTCCTTCCCCCATTACATTGTTTTGATGCCCTTGTCGAAAATCTTTTGACCATACATGTGTGGATCCTTTTCTGTTCCATTCTATTTATTCTTTTGTCAAAATTTTGTAATTCTATTTGTTTTAAATTTTAAAGATGTGGGGTACAATCAGGGTTAGGTATACAAACATTGATTATGCAGGGACCTCGTTGATGAGGTGTGCCCCTTCCTCCCCTGGCAGTTGCTCTCAACTGCCAATCCCACACCCTCTCCTGGCAGTTTAAAATTTTGTAGTTCTTGATGTCAGGTAAAACAGACTTTCCAGTTCCTTATTTTCAAGATTGTTTTATTTATTCTAGGTCCTTTGCATTTCCAAATAAAATTTAGAGTTGGTTTGTCAATTTCTACCAAACTACCCCACCAAAAAAAAAATCTTGCTTGTGGAATTTTGATTAGGTTTCATCGAAACTATATTTAACATTTTAATAATATTGAGTCTTCCAATCAATAAGCATAGATGCTTTCCCACTTATTTCATTTTAATTTTTCTCAGCAGTGTTTTATATTTTTCAGTGTAGAGAATGTGCACATCCTTTAACTTTATCCCTATATAATTTTTTTTTTTTTTTTTTTTTTGATGATACTATTCTGGAAACTATATCTCTCATTTTCCTGGTTTGCTTTTTAATTCTCCAAATCTTCCAACGCTCGTTTTTAGTTTATCGTGTCGGAGAACTACATTATAGATTATTTAAATAAGTATGAGTCTTTCTTTCTTTTATTTTTTTTTTTTTTGAGTTGAAGTCTCACTCTGTCGCCCAGACTGGAGTGCAGTGGCACGCTCATGGCCACCGCGGCCGCGACCTGCTGGGCTCAGGTATTCTTTTCACCTCAGCCTTCCAAGCAGCTGGAACCACAGGCATGTGTACCATGCCTGGCTAATTTTTTGATTTATTGTAGAGACGAGGTCTCTCCCAGGCTGGTCTCGAACCCACAGGCTCTGTCAATTCTCTTGCCTTGGCCTCCCAAAGTGCTGGGATTACAGGACTGAGCCACAACGCCCAGCCAAGCCTTCCTTTCTTTGTAAACTTTTATTGGTAATAGTGGGAAGAAGTCTGCTGAATTGAAATTTATAGTAACAAAACTAGAAGGAATCCCCCTAATTTTCTCAAATTAGAAATGAATGCGGTCTCAGAAGGAATATGTGACTTGCCCAAGATCTTGCAGGTAGTCGCGGGCAGAACAAAGGATGGAGTCATTGAGGTTTCCTGACGCCAGTCAAGCACTTTTACCTCAGTGGATTCCACCTTTGGCCACATTTTAATGTCCATGACACAATAACTGGTTTAAAATAAGTTTTATGTAACTTAATTTTGGTGATTTTTTTAAAAAGTCACCAGAGGATAAGTAACCTGAGATTAGGCTAGTGGAGAGGTCAGCCCATTTGTCTCTGTTTGGTAAATGCCTAAACAGCCTAAGAAATTTACTCTCTGGCCTTTTATAGAGAAAGTTTGCCGACCCCAGGCAATTATAATCTAAACATATTTAAAACAGGAGGTATTTTCTATTTAAGTCATTCTAATGATGCAATCCTTTTGGGAGCAGCTTATTTTATATGGCAGGATAATCTCAGGACTTGTTACATTCCTTCCCACAGTTTTTAGTGAAATAAGTAAGGATTTTATTTACTAAAAACTATTTTTACTAAATATGCTAGCAGCAGTAGTAAAGCATCTCATAGTTTCGGTGAACTGTGATGAGTTTTCATGAAATTCGTTTCTCCAGTTATTATTAAATTCCCAGTTTTCTAATAAGCTGTGAGAGAAGTGTATCTGGAAGAAAATAAATCAAGATGTTTGGGAAGAGATATGTTTAATCCTCAGAGAGCTGGAATTACTTGGGGGGGGGGAGCATTATCACCTCGTCCCTGTTGCCTGTTAAAGCAGGATATTCACCGAGCAGCCTGTAATCCCGCGCCTTTGGGAAGCTTGAGGTGAGTGGATTGCCTGAGCCCGCGGGTTCAAGACGCGCCTGGGCAACGAGACCTCATCTCTACAATAAATCAAAAAATCAGCCGGGCATGGTAGTGCACGCCTGTAGTTCCAGCTACTCGGAAGGCTGAGGCGGAAGGATCGCCGGCGCCCAGCGGGTGGAGG